CCATACCCTTAAAAAAACCTGACTCTCCCTTCCCCAGAAGCCACCACCTGTAAATAGTTCATCAGGCAGTTGTGGGACTCACAAGCCTCTGCCATCTTCCTGCTACAATGTTGACAAGTTTGATATTGTGAATGCCTGTGCAGGTAACTACAGTGTCAGTGAGGTCCTGAGCTCAGTGGTCCTGTCACACCCAGGAGATGCTGCTTTGTTCCACTTATTTCTAACTCCTGGCTCTTAGAATCTTTTCATTCCCTCTTTTATGATGGTTCCTGAGTCTTAGAGAGGAGGGTGTGATGTAGATGTGCCGTGATATATTGTGTACCCAATATATTGTGTAGCTTAATAAACTTATCTGGGTGTCAGAGGACACTAAATTAGACATAGAGGCCAGACAGTGGTGGTACACACCTTTAATCCTATCACTCAGGAGGTAGAGATTCATCTGGATTTCTGTGAGTTCAAGGCCACACTGGGAACAGAGCCAGGCATGGTGGCATACACCTTTTGTTTGTTGTTTGTTTTGTTTTTTGAGACAGGGTTTCTCTGTGTAGTTTTGGTGTCTGTCCTGGATCTCACTCTGTAGACCACGCTGGCCTCGAACTCACAGAGATCCTCCTTGCTCTCCCTCCCAAGTGCTGGGATTAAAGGTGTGTGCCACTGCTGCCTGGCCCTGGTGGTATATACCTTTAATCCCAGCACTTGAGATCTCATTACTTTGCTTGAAAAGCACACATGCCTTTAATCCCAGGAAGTGACATGGCTGGGTGGAGAAATGGTATATAAGGTGTGAGGAGATAGGAACTAAGCAGCAGTTCAACTGAGACCCTCAGGAGTGAGGACTCAGAGACTTTCAGTCTGAGGAGTCGTGGAAACAGGATTGGCTGAAGAGTTGGCGGGGTGAGGTTGGCTGTTGCTTGCTCTATTTCTCTGATCTTTCAGCTCTCACTCCAATATCTGGCTCAAGTTTTTTTTTATTATTAATAAGACCTTTTAAGATTCATGCTACATAGATGTCCCATTTATGGCTCAACTCTCCACAGTCATTTTCTCTACTTTGACCATTTGTGTTTTTCTGCATCAATCACTAAAATCTGCACTGCCATCATTCAGGAAAATAAGAGAAAACTGAGTGGCCTTACTTGTGATAAAGAGCAGAAAGTAGTATACAATGACTGAGATTAGGGGATTAATAAGAATTATAGGGAAGGGTTGAGATGATGAGCATTACACTTGGTTTCAATTTCTATAGGAAGTAGGATTTCTGTTTGATGCTCATAACAGTAATGAGCCTATAAGCGAACAATGTTTTGGAGACTACCATGCCACATTCTTGAAGTGGCCTACAAGGTTAGTGAACTTAATGGGATAGCCCTATTTGGACAAGAAGAAAGGCACAGACAGCAACAATATTACCTGGGGGTTACAGACATGCAGGTGGTGAATTCTTTTAAATTTGGTGTGTCTAAGGATCTTTATACTTTACTTTTTGGAAAAACTTTGCTTAAAGAGAGTTTTAAGATGGAGATTTTGTAGGGTTTTGTTTGTTTGTTTGGTTTTAATTCAGTTACTAGAGGATATTCTTCACTCTCTCTACAATCTTGATTATGTTAGGAAATACATTTGTTGTAATTCTTAGGTTTTTTAACTAAAATTTTTGTATATCTGCTTTTAGAATTAAGATTTCTCTTTGCACATGCATTTAAAGCAATTTAGTTATAATGCATTTTAATGTAACTCTCCTGTTCTTGTGCTTTTGTAGTTTTTGGTGGGGTGCTTCTTTGATCTGTGAACTTGTAATTTTTTCTAATCTGGAAATTAGAAAAAATCTGAATTCCATTGTTCCTCAAATAAACTTGTTCTCGCCTAGAGAGTCATAAATACACAAGCATATATTTAAGCACCCATCACTTAAAGCTGTTCTATGTTTTAATAACTGACTATCCTTCTGAGAGAGTGTGGTCTTGTGTCTTGACATTTCTATCCACCTGTAATCCCACGCCAAGCACTCTGGACTTTGTATTGCTTGTATTCATCATGTGCTTAATTCATATTCTAGAGCTTTCTTCTGAGATGTAGTTAGGCTTCTTCGAATCAATGATACTTCTTTTAAGTTTTATTAGGTGGGACCAAACCACATTCATGGTTAAAATGAAGCTTCCAGTCTAAGACTCTTTTTTTTATTCTTATGACTGTGTCCTACACTATGAGACTTTCTGTATAATTGCTGGGACCTGACAGTGTTCCTGGCTTCATGTATGCGCTGGAGATAATGTTTTTCAATACATTTTTGAAGGAGATTTGTTTACCATGTTGGCATAGTTTCTTTACAAAGTTGTTCTTAGTGTTCAGAGCAACCCTCTGTAGACTCTAGAGTGCCTTCCCTGTATGGTGACCCCTCTTGGATCTCTGTTCTGTGGTGGAGCTGTTCTCCTCTCCCTTTTCTGTCTCTCCACTCAGGAAGCCTGCACGACTGTCCTCATCTTCACCGCAGTCTGGAAACTTTCTCTAGGCAGTAAGCAGGGAAACCACTGGTCTCATTTCATCAGTTTTCCCATTTCACATGGGTAACTGTCATGCAAAAGACTTGCTTGATAACAATTGCTTGAGTCTTGTTTTATGTATTTCTCTTGATTTTAGTTTTTTTTCAGGCATGAGACTAAACTCTCAATTTTTATTTCTGGTCACCATTTGAACTAGTAGTCTGGTAGTCACTGAGCTCTAGATCTTGATAATATCAGCAGTTAAGTGCAAAGAAAATTAACACAGAAAAAAGAAACCTTAATATTTGAAAGTTTTAATTGCCCAGAGACATAAACATGGTTTAAAGCATAATTATGCAAATAGATGGCAAAGTTTAAGAGAAAGGTTCCAAGTCTTCAACCTCACGTAGTAGAAAGGAACATAGTTTGAACAAAAATATCTTAATTCATAAGGACATCTCAGAAAGTCTTATCAAAAGGACAGTGTAAACTTTACTAGTATGGCTCATTAAGTCAGAAATGGACTCTGGAAGGGTCATGGAGATTAGAGGTGAGGTAAGTCATAATCAAAGCAATTAGCAGTGTATTATATCTCCCGAGTTCCTTAGAAAAGGAAATCTCAGTTACGTTGATAAAACTCCAAATGGCATTTACTTGCCCAGATGGAACATTACCTAAAAGGCAACTACCTGCTTTACTACATGAATTGACAGCTCTGTCCTTTGTCTAAAGTAACGGGTTACAAATACTAAGATGTGAGTTTTAAGTTTGTGTATGTTACACCAATCACATCTGGTTTTCAGCTACTTAGAAATTTTATTTTATTGGAAGTTTAACTAGACAGAGAATGCATCGCTTGGCTTTAATAGAACTAGATATTTATTATTGTACTGTAGGGAGTACCTAGACATAGGTAGCTCAATTAATCCAGATCTAAATCTCGGATACCAATCCCCACTTTGAATTGTATTTTAATGGTTTTTAGTGTTGCTCCTCAGTTCTTTTCTTTTTTCTTTGCCTTTCTTTTTCTTTTTTTCTTTCTCTCTTTCTTGCTGTCTTTCTTTCTCTTTCATTCATTCTTTCTTTTTTAAAATATACTTCAAATACAGGGGCTTTGGCTCAGTGTTGGGATACTTGCCAGGTGTGCAGGAACCTGGGTTTGATCACTACATCACTCATACACTACACCAAGTCTGAAACCTCTAGGATTCTGTCATCTACAAAGTTTGCCCCCTTTTTACCCTTCTGAGCATCAGTCTCTGTAACTGTGAAATGTGGACAGAAGCATGTTTCTTTTCTTGTGTTTCCTAATAGAAAAATGCTCTAAGTGGATGTCAATCTTCAGACTGCAGTGCTCTTTCTCAATGTATAAATTTGAACATAAAACAAGATGTGAAAGATGCAAATTTTGAAAATTTGCACCCTTCATGGTCTCTCCCTTTGTACAAGCACACCAGACATTTATGACATTACATTATTAAACACATTAAGAAGTAATGCCTCAGCAATGTTTGAAATCAGAATAAAATGAAATATTGTAGTGATATATTTTAAGATCAATGACTATGGAATAAGAATGATACCACAAAGAATACTGAAAGAGATCATTTGGAAAGTGTAATGCTTTTGAAGCTCAGTAAGAAAAACACCATTTGACTCCATTAAATAAATCAAGTTTCCATGTAGTGAGAATTCTAATTGGTCTTAATAATAAAAATCCAAAGTCAGATATCAGGGTGAAAGCTGAAAGATCAGAGAAGCAGAGCAGTCAGCCACTAATTCTTATGTTTACAAAATCTTCAGCCAAAAAGAGGCCAAGCTCTTGTCTCCTCCTTGCCTCATCACTTCCTCTTTCTGCCCAGTCATATCATTTCCTGTCTGTGTGTATAGACGCCAGACCTCTATGGTTAACTAATGGCTAGCTCTACCCTCTGATCTTTAGACAAACTTTATTTATTAAAATAAAAATAAAATATCACAACATTCCCCTTTTTTATCTAAAATAAGAAAGGTTGTAACTAATGAAAAATTATATACAATAAATACAATAACTATATACAATATATACAGTCAAAAATTATATCAACAATGTCTAGTCCATTAACAATTGACTAATTCAGAGAAAATGCTCTCTATCTATCCTATCTTGCTGAGTCTAAAAGGTTGTACCTAACTCACTTTCTATTCTAACTTGTATTACCAAAACTATCTTTTAAAATATTTCTACTCTATACACCTTATACCTCCTAATGAGTTTCTTTTCTGAATCTGTTAACAAGGAAAATTATAACTATAACTATCTAATCTTCAATGCCCTTAGAGACCAGAGAAGGAAATAATATTAACTAAGTAAGCAGGAAGTGCAAATAAGTGACTTCCAAAAAATATAACAGAAACAGCTGGCTGTGGACAGTCACCCAAGGTTCCTCTATAATGTTGGGGCATCCATCTTCAGCCTACAGGCCTAGCATATCTGACATACTTTTCTATGAATCAGGACATACTAAAGGACTGTCTTACCTTGTTTTGGCAATGTTTTGCCATCCTTTCTTTTATGTCCTGCTTGTCCAATTTGGAGAGCACACTGTCAGCAGTCAAGGCAAGAGCACTTTCTTGCCCAGTGGCTTACTTTTGCCACAAAGAAAGTAAACTCCATGTGGAGTTTCTTCATTGCCAATCATCTTCTCCAAAATAGATTGATGCCACCAAGAGCAGACATGTCTCATTGTCATAAAAAAGAACCTTTGTTCTTAATGCCATATTAGAACATCTTAAATGCAATATTCTGTAGACCTCTGAAGTGTTAGAAAATGACCTATCTAAACTATATCTCTGTTTGACATTGAAAACATACTTAATATGATTACAAATGGATTGTAATAGGTGATTAACTACTAACCTGCATTTCTTTATTATCCTTAATAGTTTGCAAAAATAGCTTCCAAGAACTAGAAATTTGCACTAATTGTTAATGAGTTGTATAGGTACAATACCTTGGACAAGATTTAGAAATGAGCCAGGTGGTGGTGGCACATGCCTTTAATTTCAGCACTCAGGAGGCAGAGCTAGGCAGATCTCTGTGATATGAGGCCATCCTGATCTACAGAGCAAGATCCAGGACAGGCACCAAAAGTACACAGAGAAACCCTGTCTCAAAAAACCAAAAAAGAAAAAAAAAAGATTAGAAATGTATGTACAGTATGTTCCAACAAAAATAACCTCAATTTGTATCAATATACAAAATCCATATCAATGTAAAATATTTAAAACTAGTAGTTGCTTTTTGTTCAAAAGTAGATTCAATAATCTACCTTTTTATCTTATTTCTACATTTGCCTTTTGCTTTTAGAGTAGATTCAATAATCTACCCTTATATCCTATCAATATCATACTCCCTTTTTTCTTTTCAAAACAAAAACCCTGAATCTAAACTCCTTTGTTCAGCCTTTTTTCTTGTCCATTACCAATAACAACTTGTAACCAATATTCCTAAACAATGACAAATATCCATAACCCAATGAAAGAGCAAAAACCACCCACTACAACTCTTGAGAATATGGACATCATGTTCTTAAATTTATTTCCTGCTGTGTAGGGGCAACGACATCTTTAGGGGACCCTGAAAAGAAAAAAATGGGGTTAACTGTCAAGTTCTGGGAGAGGTTTCTGTATCATTTGTGGTCTAGTTTCTATGTATTTAGAAACTGCAGGGCTTGTTTCAAGTCCTGGCTAGAGTATCTGTGAGGCTGGATTGTATTTCAATTAGCCAACTTGAAATTATCCTGACCATTTTGTAGTTCAAAGCCAATCTTTAGGTGTTTTTTTTGTTGTTGTTGGTGGTGGTGGTGGTGTTTTTTTTTTTTTTTTTTTTTTTTTTTTTTTTTTTTTTTAGCTTAGTGGTGTTATCATAGTCCTGGTGGAATCGTTGTTGTAGGGCCCCATCATCTTTTTGGAGACTTCAAAAGTCATTGTTAGGTGTGGTCATGGTTCACTGCAGAAAACTTAAACATTTAAAATGTTGTATGAAACATATCTCAAAGAGGTTAAAAGATCAATATTTGTTATATAAATTCAGAGTACAAAAACTTAATTCCTATTTACCTGATAGAGACTCAAACCTGAAATCATGTACAGGAAGCTAAATGAAGCCTTTTTCTAGAATTAGTTAGTAGTTTATATGACCACTAATATCACAACAAAAAGTTATATATATATATATATATATATGTATATATATATATATATATATATATAATTTGAGATATTTATACCTTAAGAAAACCTGTTAAAAATTTAACACAGAACCAAAAGATTATGAGATTAGTGGCAATAAAACAGTCCCTAAATTTTGGTTTTTCTTCTGTCCCATATCATTTGGCTCTTCTGACATGAGACAGAGATTTTGGATTTTACTTTAACAAGCATGCTTGGGTTTAGGGAAGTGGACAGCCACACTCCACCTCCAGCTTTAATTTTCAATTCAACTGGGACTACATAAAGGCCATTTGTCTTATGTGTCTATAGAGAAGAGCAGAAACAAACATTTGGGAAGATTTATGAAATTTTATCCTGTTGGAGATGTGATATGCCAATAGGCCAGTTTACTCTTTTTCTTAGGACATCATTTTTGGATGATTCATCCTTTTTTTTCAGATGTCTCATTTCTTCAGTGGTGCTCAGATTTCTTAGCTAGATGCCTTCATTCTCCTGAAAAGACAAAAACAAAACCATTTCTCAACCCTAATTTTGGGGAGGTTCCCTTTTGACAAGTTATATCTGATCAAATGAGAAGCATTTGTTAGTTGTATAAGTTAGTTAAGATTAAATGGTCACATTGTTTGATGAACTATCACTTCTTCTAATTAAGAGGTCTCTTGTTCAAATTGAACCCTTATCAATTTGATGGTATCTATAGCCTTTCTTCTCCTTTGGAAACAAAAGCAAAATCCCTTCTACAATGTAACATATACCGTTTTCCATTCTGAGGTCAACACATCTTCAAAGTACACAGGCTGATATAATTCTGTAGTTTTTTTCTAATATCCAATGTCTTGCCACAGCTGTTATTCCTTTAAAAATTAGAAAATAAGCATTTAGAAAATTCAACATTAATACAGCATTATGCAATCTATTCCTTTGGGGGGGATCCTTATTACACCTTTCTGTTTATTAGGCATATCTTTTAGAGTTCTACTTGATCTTTCTATAACTGCTTGGCCTGTAGGATTATGTAGTATCCCTGTAATATGTTTTTTATTGTAATAAGCAAAAAACTGTTTCATTTTACTAGAGACATATGCTGGAGCATTGTCACCCTTAATTTGTATGGGTATACCCGTGATGGCCATAACTTCTAGAAAAAAAAACCAATGGTGTTGTGTACATATTTTAATTTTCCAAATTCTAAAAAATGGAACACTTTCATCTGCCAGATTTCATTCCTTTGAGTACCCCTTGGATTACTTCCTGCAGGTAGTGGAGTTTGGTTATATAAAGAACAAGTAGGATATTTCCTTATAATTTCCTTGGCTTTTTGTCAAATGATGAAAAAAATCAGTTTTCAAATTCTTGCTATTGACTATGTCTTTTTTACAAAACTTTGAGGCCTTCAGCACATTTCCTATCAATTGTTGATCAATTTCTTCATTATCCTGTGCTAGAGGGCCTGGTAGACCTGTATGTGATCAAATGTGTGTTGTATATAAGAGATGATTGCTATTTCTGATTATTTCTTGTAACTGAATAAATAATAAAGTCAATTCTGTATCATCTGGTATAAATTCAGCAGTTTCAATATGCAAAACATATTCTGCATATTGCAAATCAGTAACTATGTCAAGAAGTTCTGTAAAATCCATTAATACCATGAGAATAGCATATAATTTTGACTTTTGGATAGAATGATAAGTGCTTTAAGCCACTTTACTTAAATTTTCTCATTTGTAACCTGACTTTCCTGGTTTATTTGCATCAATATAAAATGTAGGGGCTCCATATAATGGTGTTTCCTGTACAATGTGAGGAAGGATCCAGTTAGTTCTCTTTATAACTTGAATTCTCTTGCTTTGGGAATATTTGTTGTTAATCCCTCCCAAAAAAATTACTTCAAGCTCTTTGCCAAGGTTTACGTTTTGCCCATAGTTTATCAATTTCATCATTAATAAAAGGTACTACAATTTCTTCTGGGCCTATTCCTGCTAATTGACAAAGTCAATTTAGAATCAACTCAGATACCTTTTTCCCATAAATTTTTAATTCTTTACTTTGTTTGTTTGGTAAAAAAAAAAATCCATTCTAAGACAGTATCTACCCCCTGCATTAATATTCTTGCAGGAGAATGCATAGAGGGTAAAATAACCAGAATGCAATCAATCTCTAGATCCAAATGATCCACATATGCACCCTATAATTTCTTTTCCACTAAAGCCAATTCTTTCTCAGTTTTAGCTGATAAGTCTTTTGAACTATTTAAGTCCTTGTCACCATTTAAGGTTTTGAATACATTACTCAGTTCATCATTACCCCAGTAGCTCAGTAGTTGGCTGTAGATTAGAAATGTCTCCTAGCAATCTTTGAAAGGCAGTAAGAGTCCACAATATATTTCTCCTAATTTGTACTTTCTTCAAACATTCTTTCTAAAGTATCTAGATTTGAATATGCCAGTAAAATATCATCCATGTAATGGTAAACTATAGATTGAGGAAACTGCTTACATATCATTTCCAATGCCTGACATGAAATATTGGCACAGGGTGGGACTGTTTAACATTCCCTATGGGAGAACCTTCCATTGATATCTCTTAACAGGCTGAGAATTATTATAAGTTGGGGATGCTGGGGGATGTCTTTCTGTACATTGTAAATATGTGCTGTTCCCATTGGTTAATAAATAAGCTGCTTTGGCCTATAGCAATGCAGGTTGGAGGCAGGTGGAAAATCCAAGAAGAGAGACAGGAAGGAGAAAGTCAGAGTTTGGATAGATGCCAGCTGCAGCCAGGAGATGCAAAATGTGAAAGTACTGGTAAGCTATGGCCATGTGGCAAAATACAGATTAATAGAAATGAATTAAGTTATAAGAGCTATCTAGAGAGAATCCTGTCATAAGACATACAGTTGATAATTAATATTAAGCCTCTGAGTGATTATTTTATAAGCAGCCACATGACCATGGGGTGCTGGGTGGGACTGGAGGAATGTGGAACCATGGGACCGGGCAGGACTTGAGAAACTTCCAGCTACAGGGTACCATGAAGGCAAATTTTTTCTCTGTCTTTTTCTTGTAAAGATATAGTGAAGGAACAGTCTTTTAAATTGATGACTAAAAGAGGATATCTTTTAGGTAACAGAGAATGCAAAGGAATTCCAGACTGTACAGAGCCCATTGGCTGAATCACCTTAACAGCTCTTAAGTCTGTTACCACTCTCCATTTTTCCAGATTTCTTTTTAATAAGAAATACAGGAGAATTCCAAGGGCTGGTTGATTTTTCAATGTGCTGAGCATTTAGCTGCTCCTGTACCAGTTGTTCTAAAGCCTGCAATTTCTCTGATGTTAAAGGCTATAGCTCAACTCATATAGGTTTGTCTGTTAATCATTTTAAAGGTAGGGCTGTTGGTGCCTCTGAAAGATCAGCAGCTGATGTGCCCTGTTTTTGAACAACCTGAATGGCTATTCTTTATAATACCTTCTAATATTTTCCCCAGACATATG